CAAGTAAGTCAGTTTTTTCTAATTTCGCACCACCTAAAAAGCAGAAGTAACGCACAAGCACTTACAGCAAGGTAACCCCTAAACACAAACCAACACAAGGAGGGGGTATTGAAATATGATCTGGAAGATTCTGTCTATTTTAAGCGATGGAACAGTGGGTTGTTTTTATACTTGTCGCCGTCGGGATCTCGGGTGGAGAGAGCTTCTTCGTAGTGATCTGTTGTGAGGGCAAATTTGATTGACTAAGTTTCATCGATTACTCCCCCAAGCGGAGCTCATATTTCGCATCAAACTCTTCGCAGTAGCGCGTCCAATTCTCTTGATCACACTCTTGAAACGAATCGTCAACTACAGTGGAAAAATGTGTTATCGTGATGGTTTCACTGTTGATCAACTGCTTCAGGATAAGCCGAAGACAAACAACTATGTCAAGCTAAACATCAAGCAGTGGCCATCTCTACTGTGATGATTAAGGCGCTAAGTTACTGGTCAGCGGGTCCGTGGTTCGAACCCAACATCACCATATCGACTGCTCCTTTCTAGGCATGAGCAACCCGGCACTACCTCATCCATCATAATTCCTTCGGATGCAGTGGCAGCTGGACATCGAAACGGTGTTACTGCTGAACGATTACTGACGTTTCCGTTGATAGACTACCAGAATATCTACATAAAATGAACTGAAAGTGTTTCTAGCAGATGAACGTTCCACCTTGATCGCACCATATCACCAGCACCCAAACGAATAAATCGTTTTATTTCCAATCGACACTGCTGTCCTAATTTAGTGGACCTAGTCCAGGGAGAGATACATGGAATTAGTGTTTGTTTATAATGATCAAGCACTGATTCCCTCATTATAAGAGACGAGGCTATCGTCCGGTAACATTTCCGATAACTTTTGAGTCTGTCGGCACCTCCTGGACCCTGTTACTGGGGTAGAAATTAAGAACAAGGGCTTAACATATCAATATCTCGATGTCAAAGCATTGGCTGGGAAATTAATGGATAAAAACTCCAAAACCTAACTCCCAGCAAGCACTTTGAAATATTAGGCGTTACTCTATCACAAGTGGTGAACAATGCGAATCAGCAGCATTTTGAGTGCGATGCTATTTACAATCGGCTAGATGATTCAGTAGAACGTGGCTGAACTATCTTGATTGTGAGAGGTGGCACACGACACGACTCACGACTGAAGATGCCGCAATATTTCATAGGCCAAAGGTTAAATATGGCTATTGTGCACAAAACGTCTGATGATACTAATCAGGAAAATCGTAATGGGCCCTATGAGGAGCAAACGCGAACAGGTGAGTTAGAATAATCTGGCTTTTAAGCAACCGATAAGTGACTCGAGAACCCTCGATACAGCTGACTAAAGCTTTCTGGTCGAATAGGTCAAATACATCGGTGCTTTAGATTTGCCTTGCGCCTCATTGCAAGCCCGTAAAAGCAGCGCTTCTTGTTTACAACTATTCAAACTAAAATTCTACCGAAGGCTCTTCAGCCAACAGAAACTGACAGACGTGCACCTATCAGCCAAGCAAACGGAACCAAACGGACAAAACTGGTGATCAACTGAGCGATTGTTTCCTCCAACTTCTTCGTTAGTATAGTTTATCAATAAACTGAAGCCTTGTCCATCCCAAGATGAGGCTACTCGTGCAAAAGTGAATCGTCCGCGGGAAGACATACATATCATGCAGTGTTATTCAACAATTTTCTTATTTCTCCTTCATTTAATAAGTGACACTACAAATCGCTAACATCCAAAGCTATCGCATTGATCAGGACGTTTTGGTGAAATGGGAGACACAGGGTCCATGTACTGTTCAACATTTCAACGTCACACTGCGAGACCTGAGAGAAGAAGAATCCTGGTATCACTCCTATTTGTACACCCCGGGCGTGGTTTTCGCAAATGTGCCGTCGAATCTCGAATTTTATGTGGAGGTTTCCGCTTTGGACGAGTCGGACAATTTGCGTGTCAATGAAGCAAGGCCAACTGTCTACAAAACGGGTGCGTTGGATACCTTTATCCCACTAAATCCATTAGCAAGCTCACTGTATTTGTGTCATTCTAGTCGGACTTATCTCCTCTGGACCATGCCCCAACATCAGCCTTCTAATTAGCTTACCGCCTTCTTCCGACGAATGATTTGGCAGCTATCGCGATATATCTTATATGGAACCTTCAATGTCATCTATTACTTTTATTGAACAAGAACTTGTCTAGCGTACCGAAGTGTCTCGTGGCTTTTCTTTTGTTCCTGCTTATCCAAATATGCATTCGATTTGCACTGTTACCTTATGTGAAATGCTAGTTCAGATAAATCTCCACCGTATTTTGATTACTTGGTTTGATAGTAGCCGTTTTTATACTGGTTTTATGTAGTATTTCAACATCAAGTGGTCTTTGGAGCGACATAAAAGTGATTTAGGAACTCAGGGCCACATGCATTTTTGGTCCTTTGGAAGAGTAGGTGCTTGACATTTGAGTCCTTTATTCACTCTCTCGGTTCAAAACAGCCCGGTGCACTAAAAGGGTTGACGCATATGCTAGCTCGGATCAATGCCCACATTTCACAGTATGATGCGCGCGGTCGTCTGATATCAAACGTAAAATTGTTTAAACCCTCAAGCGCCCTTTTCTTTCATCTGCACCTGCCAACTTAATAATTCCCCTTAGTAGGACGCTATTTGCCTTACCCTTCAAAATAGCTGAGTAGCTGGCATACGACCACTGGATAATCATTAAAGATACCATTATGCACTGTGCAAACTATATAAGCGACAAACTGCCAATTTACTCTCTATGGGGCCTCGCGCTCAAAGGTATACCCATTCTCCCGATTAATTCTGGCACACTCAAAGCTGTGTATATTTGCTAACGCTAGAAGTCCTATGGTGAACAGAATGTCTGTTTATTGATCATTCACCTCATCATTCAAGGTTTGCGAATCAGCATCACCAGATTGCCATACGCGTGTAAACACTTTGGAATATTGCAGAAGTTTAACACCAAGTCAGCTGACAAATTGAGGGAGCGCTTAATTTTGCACTGCCGTGAGGCGCTGACATGGTCACGTTAACCATAGCTCTTGTTACATTATTCGGTAAAAAAACTACCCTACTTCATGTCCGAGCCTGTTGCCAGCCTGTCGAATCTTCAGAATATGGACAGTTCCGCTCAACCTTCCGACCCAATCTACACACCATTTTTCCCACGATCTCGCAAAAATGATCAGCTGTATCTGGCGCACGCATCGAAAAAAACTCCCTACTTCATGTCCGAGCCTGTTGCCAGCCTGTCGAATCTTCAGAATATGGACAGTTCCGCTCAACCTTCCGACCCAATCTACACACCATTTTTCCCACGATCTCGCAAAAATGATCAGCTGTATCTGGCGCACGCATCGTCCCCACAATGCATGTGTTTGTCGGTACGTCACAGTCTAGTGCAAAGCATGAGTCCAGTTCTCTTCTTGACATGGCAGTGAGCGCCCACAGTCAAGCGTCATGGCTAGTAAAGCCGATACAAGCTTACCAGCAGAATGACCGATGGCTATCATTAGCTTTCATGCCCAGTTTGGTTGCGATGACCAACTGCCAGCTTGCCATATGTCATCAGTAAGGAGAGATTTTCTTAGAAAGTGCAGATGGCTGCAAGCAGCACGAATCAAATAATCTTGCTGGTTGCAGTTCTAAGGGAGTTTATTGGTTTGACGGCCGCACAATTTGATGCTTATTTTTTTCTCCAGAGAAAACTTCAAAAGTAGGTTGCTGAGCCCGTAAAATAATTCACTCACTGATAGTGATAGCCAACATCCCAATTCGACAAATAAATTTGACCAACTGTTGGGTTCTTTGACTGAATCATCATGGGTTAGTTGTAATTTTATTCGTTGAATGAATAAAGATGCCAGGAACCTGTCCTCACTCTGTGTACAGTAGCCATCGTCGGACCTAGAACGTAACCAAAATGAAGACTTGTCGAGACCATCATAACACCTGAACCTGTCACACGAGAACGTAACCGTGGGTGCTTTCTACCAAGTGAGGAGAACGATTATGCTCATAATTTGCACTTGCCTGTCACGCGCCCACAAACAGATGCAGCGTCGTCGACTATTTTCTATGCGACGGTGTGTTCGCCGCCAAAGGAATTTGCATCGTATGGATGTTCGTATGGATTGGATGGTGGGAAGGCTGATCGGAAGTTCCGGGTTGTTCAGATGCGGCGGAGTAACAGCAGGGTAAATCGTGAGTAGATAACTGTCTGATGTCTGTGTTGAGCACTAACGATAAAAATCCAGCGGTGTAAGATCCTCCGCTTCACATAGGGAGGTTTTTCTAGGATTTGGTTTCATACACCTGACCATAAAATGCCTCTCATCAACGGGTAATACACGATACCTAGATATTCAGTTTTTACCGTCTCAAAAATTATCCTGCATCAAGGTTTTTGCTCAACCTTATGAACTGTAGGTCTTCCTTTTTACTGTACACAACCCCAATGGTATCAGCATTCTGCGCCACTAGGTAGACCGTAATTAATCCGCTGTTGCATATCTTGTCACACCACTTAAACAGTTTCACGACCATAACTTACTCCTGCTTGCCATTTTCAACTGACCCGCCAGTCAGGTAGCGTGGCACACGCTGGAAACCAACTGGGCAACTTTTTGATTGCGGTTCTGGGGTTTAGCGGGATAGGTATTTTGTAGATACTCACACCACTCTCGTTTGAACGGTCGTACTCCTGTTCTGGCGTAACCATTACGGTGATTTCACACCAAAGGAAAGCGCTGGACTCGACTTTCGCTCTTATTAGAGCTCATCAGCAGTGCATATCCAATGGCCGTGCCGGGATTTGAACCCTAGACATCTGACATGCGGGGCGAGCGTGTAACCACTACTCCACCAGCGCATGTTGGACGCGTCTGAATTTTCACGTCTAAACGGGCGAACGTGTTCACAATTGAGCGATGTGATTGATGTGCCCGACCTATCGAACGACGACCCAGTAACTGTCCTGGTTGTGACGATCGACTGCCTCTAGGTTTTGACAAGGGCTGGTAAAAGACAGTCAGTACAACCAACTTGAATGTGGAACTAGGAGTGCCGGGTGTTACTTATGCTACATCCAACGATGATTCCGACTATAGACATTGAGTTTCCCTGTAAACTTATTTTAATCTCACTGAATCCTTACTAGCCCAATTCTTCAAGCTCATTTTTGAGTAACGCTTACATAAACATATGATTCGGGTTGAGATATCCCAGAATTATTGTAAAAATCTTGTGTGTTCAGATCCACCGATTCTTCAGAACTGTTTTGCTTCCACTGAAACTGTTACCGTAGACTGCTGTACGACGGTGAGTTCTGATAACGCGAAAACTAAGCGAGTAGTCCATTGTAAAAATCCCCCATTCTAGACTGAATTTCATTCCTCCGTTCCCTTCTTTCACAGATGATTGGAACGTAACACTGCAGCTGCTTGACTCAGATTCGTTCAACATAATGTGGAACCCAGCGGTTACTAGTCCACTAGTGGGCTACCACCTTATTTGGTTCCAAAACAATATTTACAAGGGCATCCACGAGATCGACTCAGTTCAAACAAACTTTACCTTCAATGATGTCGACTTATGTCATTCGTATGATTTCAGTCTCCACGGCATCGACCAAGCGGGAGTGCAGTTCACTCTCGGACAGGTGTTCTATGTTGGAGGTAGGCAGTGTTTTTTGTTAGGTCAGCTGAGTTGGATTAAACCCTTGATATTGCGGTCCTGTTTCAACGTAGGTATTTCGGCTCCTATATTCTACAGTTTGGCCAGCTTCCACACTATAAACCGTACTTGGTCTCCTATTCTGAAAATTGTCACGGGACTAGAGACGCCCAACTAAAAGTAGGCTCTTTTCGGATGAAGTTTTTTTAACTAGCTTTGTGACCATCAACTACCCTTGATTCGAACGTTTTAATTACGGAAATAACTGTCTTTTCACGTCCTAGGTGAAATTCTTCGTATTTGAGCCTTTTTAGTGTTATTGATTCACACGTGGGTAATTGACGAAGGTGTTCTATAAGGTCAAATTGTGGAGTTTATCAAATATTTGATACTCTGAGTGAGAGTATCATAGTACTTGTATCATAGTGCTTGTAACTCGACTTGTTACTTCAAGTGATCTTGTGCTGTGTCGTTTTTTAGTCATGCGTGTACTGCCAATCGAAACTATCCATCTTATTTATTCTAATAATATCCCAGTATGAATCACAACTCAGTTGCCAAGAGAACTCCCGTTTTCTTGTTGCTTCTGTTGCTGCTCAATAGCGTTGCTCTGAGCTTACCTGTACTTCGAGCTGAAGTTCTCAAGAAAACCCTGGGGAAGTTTCAGAAAACGCTTCATAGGTCCCTGGTTCTATAATTTACACTGTGTTTACGCTCTTCCTGCTGTCATCTAGTCAATTAGAAGTCAGGTCAATCCCAGTCGGACTGTAAGCTGTCATCTTATTAGTTTCACTACCGAAGATGAAGAGATTAAAAAACTTC